TTCCTCAAAAGCAAGAAATACCCACCTCAACAGCCACCCTACAACCAGACCCAGTGTCTGGCCCAGCACTTTACAAACATTCATTGAGTTAATGAGTGACTCAATGACCCCACCGCTCCTTCACCCACCAGCCAGTGTGAAGTGTGAAGAAAACCACTTTGCCTGGGTTCTTCTAAAAAACAGTATCCATAAAACAAAGGCTTTCCACACTTTCCTAACTCTTTTTTGTCACATTCAGTCAGTAGAAGAGTTGGCTGGAAACGCTGGTGAAGCATGTGCTTCTATGTTAGAGTTTGGCCAAACTTGTTCTTGGAAGAGCTCATGAAACCTGAACTTCGAACCCAGACGGGTCTCCACTTCCAAATGCAGCCACCAGGACTGAAGCTGGAGAAGGGCCTTAAAAACCTCACCCACGCCCACGGAGAATTTAAAGTCAGGAAGACACTCAGGGCCAGTCTAAACCAAGACAGGCAAAGTGTGGATTGTGTGCCTACTTTGATGATTGTTCAAGTTAGAGAAACACTTAGTTTGTAACACTGTATGATTCTTCCTGTGCATGCTGCCACACCACATCCCCAGAGGGCACCCACAGGCTGCCCTCTCCCTTCCCTGATGGTGAAAGGACATTTTCTTGCCTCACAAATCCTCAATGGAAAACATTCTGATTTATGGTTTGCATATTGAACAGACCATGTGCCCTGACTTGTGTTTGCTGCCTTACTGAGGTGTGACATTCCTAATGAATTTGTTCTTCAAAGGAGAATACCCTCTTCTCTTGATCTAACAAAGTGTTTAAAACTTGGCAGTCCTTTGTCCAGTTACTCCTCATAGCTAATCCAAAGTCTATCTGCTAAAACTTAAATTCGAGTTCGTTTTTGATGACATGTCTCAAAAGAAAGGGGCAACTACTTTTGCCAGCCTACAGTTTAGGGCCCACTTAGGACTCCGACTTCCTCATCATCCTTTGCATCTGGCTTTGGTTTAAGCAAATTCCTGCTTCCTGAGCATATATATTAACTTCACCATGATAAAGATAGCCAGGGCTGGGTAAGAAGACCAAGGCAAAGCTGACTTAGTCTTTGACACTGGACGTGGATAATCCATCAGTTTATTATGGTTTGGCTGAGCAGAATGGAGAACCAAGAAACTCATTTCCTCTTGTTCTTTTCTCTGCAGAAAAGGAGGAACAGCTGGCTCTCCTTGTAAGAATTTAGCCTCACCCAAGCTTCAAATCCAGCACATTCTTGGAGGAATCTGTCCCAGACCTCCTTAGCTCAAAGTGATCTCACCTCATCCAAACTGCTAGAGAAACTTACACAGTATTTTTCATGGAACAATTCATCACACTGTACTGTGCTTGCAACCCATCAGTTATCACTTTATTGTTGCTGAATGTTCACAATAATGGGACTAATGACGATGCACATATTTTATTCACTGGATCCTGAGCTAAGGATATTTTTTACATTGTCTCAGTCCTCCCAAGCACCAGGAGGTGGATGCTAGTAATATCCACGTTTCATTCAAAACAAAACAAAACAAAATAGCGGTTTCTTAAAAAAAAAAAATCAATTCTCCCAAGGTCACAGAGTTAGTCTAACCTTGATCTCCAGTTTCTCTGACTTTAGCAGCTACTCTCTTAATGCCCACAAAATTGTCACAACTGATTGACGGTGCAAATAACCTATTCTTCACATCTACTTCCCTACATTCCTGCCACCCTGTGACCCCTCTCATGTATGCAACTTCCCCATGGGCTTGCCTCATCCCTGTTGGGTTACCAACCTACACAGCAAAAGAATACCTTCACATCTTTCAAAAGAAAAAAGAAGGGAAAATCTAAACCCAATTGTCTATTCAAGTGTAGCCAGAGAGTAGCGGCATGTCTGATTTGGCATTTTAATTGAAGCAAGAACAGCTGTGTTTATTTTCACAGAGACACTGGCAGGTGTGGGCACACGTGGGGGCGAGCTTGTTTCACTCAACTTGGGAACACCAAGTCAAATATGTGCCTAGGATCGTTTTCACGTTCTCAGTTACACTCTGAATCTCTGATGGGAGAGAGCCCAACATCCAAAGGAAGGAAGGTTGGAGAATGGAAGTTCCAGAAACATGGGTAAGAGATGATCTGATTTTTGAAAGCTTTGACTTCTTCTGGGATCAATTCATATCCAAGCAATTATGTTTCAAACCAGAACCACAGACACAGAGAACAGGCAGGAGCCCTTAAGTCCGGCACTGGAAAGAAGGATTCAGAGAGAATCGTGCTCATCAGAGAGGTGTTAAGCAACACAGCACAGGATGAGAGATGGGATCCTACAGGCCTCGGAAGAAGAATGATGACAGCAGGAAGATCAAGACCATCAACTTAACTCTTTATCCGATCTAAAACCTCTCTCTCTAACACTTCACTATGGTATTAAGAACAGATACTGCTATGGACTAAACTGTAATTGTGTGTCCCCCAAATTCATATGTTAAATCCCTACTCCCCAGATGATGGTGGCCTGGAGAGGAGGCCCTTGGGGGGCCATTGGATTTGGCTATGAAGATGGGCCCCCAGGGATGGATTAGTGAGTTTACAAGAAGGGGCGCCAGAGAGTTTTCTGGAAGAAAGTCTTCACCAGGAGTCATACCTGCCTATGCCTGGAACTCAGACTTTCCAGAAGAGTAAGAAATAAATGTTACTGTTTAAGCCAATCAGGCTGTCAAATTTGTTACAGCAGCCCGAGCAAACTAACACCAACATCTAAGTCATACAGGAGTTCAAATTCCAACTGCTTTTAGCTGTTGGCTCTTGAACATTCATCTGCTGATAACAATGTTCCCCAAAGACTGTGGGAAGGGGGGGAGGTCTAGTCTGTGGATGTAGGTGAAGGGTACCCATGCATTTCCTAGCACCTCCACCCACATCAGCGCCCTTCTCTTCACCCACATACTCTGAGTGCTAGAATCTGGGACATGACATGCCCTATCAGCTGATCTTTTAAAATTCACCCCATGAATGTATTTTATTGGCTTGTGCCAGTGTATTTTGTTGGCCGACACTAATGTTTGGAGACATGCAGATTACTTACTAACATAAAAGATCAGAAAATTTTACATCAAAACCCCAACTTCCAGTTCTTCTTGAGAAATAAATAAATTCTGCTTTGTGCCAGGATAATCCCCGTTGGTTGGCTCTGCTGTCTACAGTCCAAGCCAGGCCCACACATTTACGAGAATGGCTTGGTACCTGCAAGCTTCTGAGTCGGCAGCCCCTGGGATCACAAGGCTGTGAAGTCGGGCACGGACTGTCCTTTCCTAACTGCACAGAACAAAGATTTTTAAGAACAGTTTCAGGATTAGTTTCCTGAAGTGAAGAACAATTTGCACATTCTGGACTCACTGTTTTATTTATTTTTACTTCATTCTGAGCAAAAGAAACCTTAGGCAGGGCAGAATCTTAGTTGTTGGAGTAACGCTGAGCTCTTTCTTAGCTGTTGGAGTAACACTCGGGGGTTGGCCGACCCCACTTTGCCCCTGTCACTCAGCCTCTCGAGGCCTCAGTTTCTTCCTCTGAGAAAAAAGCCTTTGGGTTAGATGATCCCTATTGTCTCTTTCCATATCTGATTAAATATTACGTGAAATTCAAGCACATGGGTAGAAATTCAACACAACTGTGTTTACTTCTGAGCGCTAAAGATTTTAATGAAAGCAGAGCTCTTAAAACACCTCATTGACTGTTAACACAGGTCTTAACTAAATGTAAACAGAATCCACATAATGGCCTTGTTTATTGTTCTGCCCACTCCAGGGCTGGGCCTTTTGCCTTGATGTTCTCTACTTAACACACCAGCGAGGAATGAACACCAGGGCATGAAATGACCTGCTGCTCAACCTCCCGTCCCCAGGAGACCCTAGTGTTTGGAAGGCTGCCTGTCTCTCTGCCCTCATTTCACCAAAACACATGCCCAACCAACACCCAAGCCCTGGGGCGCTCTACATGGGCCTACATTTCGTTTCTTGCCCATGGTTCCCCAGGACCTTTACCTACAGTTTCCACCACCTCTGGTCCTCCTCACATAGTTACTTCCCACTGGTCCTTCTGATGCACCGTTCCTGGCCTCCTTGGAGAGAATAAGTCACGCTAAAATACATTTTCATGCTGCTAGCTGTGTGGTAGTGGCTGTCCCAGTTGTGCTTCATGTTTTACATGTATCATGAGTTGACTGATATCAACCCTCCAACAGAATATAAATCCCAGGAGGGCAGAGTCCTTGTCTGTCTTTGCTCATTGTCATCGCTCCAGTATCTAGCGCCACAGGAGGCACTCAAATATTTTTCACTGATTAATATAAGAAAAGCTGACACAACCCCAGGGGGAAGGTTCTGGAAGACAATAAGCTCCCTAAACACCATGTCTGATGGAGGGTTACATTCTCAAGAACTACTTTTAATGGCGACGCAGCCAGTAGCAAGGCCCTAGCATGTTCCAACCGTGTCCTAAGAGAATCCTTGTACAATAACCCAGTTTTCACAGGAATCTTAGGGAATTAGGCACATCTACCCTCTCTGTTTTTTAAGAGGACACCAAATATAAAGAAGTTGGTAAGGCATTTAGTAAAATGGAGAACAGTAATATCCCATTCAGTTTGGCTCCAACCCTAAGCCACTTGGCTTCATATATTGCCTCATGGTTAAATGGGGTAGAGTAAATGTTTACAGAATCATTGAGCTACCAGCTATCCACCCCGTCCCACTGGCGCCCCCTCCCCCACCACACACATTCTACATACATGAACCAATGGAGCCAAGGTCTACACAAGATGAGGGTCTCAGAACTTAACAGCTATAAAAGCAACAGAAAAGCCAACAGAAGAAGCAAGGAGAACCAAGTAGGAAAAAAAAAAAAACAACCTTTAGATAAGGCCCCTGGTGGGGTCACTCTCCCCAGCCCCCAACCCCCACCCCCACCCCAGCTCAGGGGGAAATGACCCCTAGCCTGGCCAGATGCTTACCTGATGTTTTCATTCAGTGCATAGAGCTCATTGCTTTGTAGACCACCCCCTTTGAAGACATTGATCACAGCAGTCTGGACACTGTGGAGAAATAGAAATGATCCCTGTTAGAGGATCTGCCTCCTGAGGCCATCTTAACAACTAGCTCAGGGGCTGAAGGTGGATGGGAGGGCCAGGAAGCCTGTGGCACAAACACAGCCACTATTTCCACCCATGGAATCCTTCACTTCCTCCCCAAGGGCCTTGAGGAGGAAGGAAGACAAAAGGACCCCCAAGTGACCCCCCTCCCTCCACTATCTCACAGGCAAACTGTCTTCTTCCTGGCCCTGCAGGAGCTGGGCTGCACAGCAGCAATAACAAAGACAGGCAGTGGGCTCTGATCCTAGGAAATGGCGTGGCCAGCACCTCTGGGCCCTGGGCGAACCCAAATGGTGCTGCTTATGACTAAAGTGCTTTCACCTGCAAGCTCCCTGTCTTCACAGGTAGCCTGGAGGCCTGGGGCTAGTAGGAAATAATTCACTGCCTTTTTAATAGTTTCCTTGGAAGAACTTCACAGAAGCTGGGCTCACTTGCCCCTTTGACCCTGACTCCTGAGAGGTATACCAGCAGTAGGGTTAGCTCCTGGAGGAGGCACACACACGTTAAATCCATGATTTCCAGAGCCCCTGCCCCAAACTTCAACAAGCCACTGATTCCACTCTTGTCTTCATCAAGGGCCCTGGATCTTTTCTAAAGAGCAAGGATTAATTTACCACCATAACATTACAGAGCTCCTCCCCACCCCCATCATGAGTGGTGCGATCCATGTCCCCTCATTGAGAATTCACTGATGCTTTGGAAGGCTGCATCTAGTTTATCTAAAGAGTAACCACATAGACTTGAAAAATAATAGGAGCTCACAGCAGTGCCAGACTTAGTAATAATCCAGTCTCCACTCCATACTAGGTGTACAAAAGGCCGGCTAGCTCTCTCACAAAACCTCTGTCTCCTTTCCCAACCACCGAGGCTCACAGTCACTGCTAATCCCTGGTTTGGGCCAGCTGATTTAGCTTTTCAGATACATGACTTATCTTCCCCAATAGCTAATAGGTTACTTGAGATTACTTACATGGCCACCCTCTTGGGTCTGCTAGTCTGGGGTATGATTAATGAGCATGAACAGTAACGTGAGGTCCACTCCATCTGTCCCGGTCGGTTAACTGCCTCTGACAGATAGCCCACAGGCCCTAGCAATCCACTTCCCGCTACTGAACTTAGGGAGGCTGATATATACAGTTGGTGGGACTCCTCTCTTCATCAATTGTCCCTATAATCAGGACCTTCTGAAACAGACGTCTCAGAGAAGCACAGCCAGCCCCCAACCCCGAGGAACACTCCCCTCCACAGCCAATGTCTTCTCTACCTGTTCCAGGCTGAATTAGAACTCAGCTGCAGAGCCTGCCGGGTGGCTTGAAATCGTGGTAGATCGCTGAGAACAGGGGAGCTCATGAAGCGAGGTCTGGGCCTGCGGAAGGAGCCCATCTTGGGGAACTCAGCAGGCAGGCTGGGAGAGAAGCCACGGGTCATTAAGTCCAGATGAGGGGGCGGCTTCTCCTCTGGACCAGGCTGCCCACGCACAGGGCTTCTCCCAGGGGTGCCTTCTGGCCCTCAGGCTTTCTTACAACCACAAGTTTAGCCAACACCTGAAAAGAGAGAGCAGCTTTTATTGAAAATAGGGCTGTGCCGACCACCTCTTGGATGAAATTGGCTGAGAGAACCTAAGAAAGACTTTATAGTTACCAGGTCTCTTTTTTGGTTATGACAGCGTGGTCACCCCAAAGTGGGAGGAGAGGACAGTGGCAAGGAGGCTGGGGTAAGGTTAATCCTACAGAAAAATTATTTCTAAGCTCAGACAACACTATGAGGTGATTTTGCCACTGTGCACTGTGGGAATGTCATCAGAGTGTGATTAGACAACCTTAGATGACAAGGCTCACCACAAACCCAGGCTGGATGGTGCAGGCGTGGGGAACACCATCACTGACGGGGCATCACTCCACGAACCAGGATGGTATTTGCCAAAGAATCCGTGTCTCTTCATGCAGAGGTCCCTCACCATCCCTTAACTGCCATGCATACGCATTCCATCAGAATATTTACTGAGTGCTTGCTATCTATTAACCACTTATTAAGCATTTCTAGGACCTAGTCCTTGCCCTCTAGAGTCCTATGGGCTACCTAGAAGTAGCTGTCAGTTTGCGTATTCATCCACACTGGATATTCAGTGAGCAGCTACTATGTACCAGGCGCTCACTTAGGTACTGGAGAAATAAGGGTGGCACAGCTGACGTGGTCTCTGTCCCGTGGGGCTGGCAATCAGCAGCCTACCCCTCTCTCAGCTTTCTGACAGATTGAAGCTCTGCTTGCCCAGAATTCCCTTCCTTTTCCTCTCTGCTTATCTAAATCCAACTCACCCTGCAGGGTTGAGTTCAAGGATACAGTCCTCTGAGCAGCTCCTGGAGGCTTTATGGCATTGTGGTTAAAGGCAGTGGCTTTGCAATGAACATGGGTTCTCTATTGCTGAGGGCACTCCCAAGTGTGGTGACTGAGTCTGAGAGCAGGGCTGGGGGGAGGAGGGATGAGAAGTGGGGCTCGCCCAGCAGGGCAGTGAGCCATGACCCCCCAGCCTCGATGCTCCATGTAGGTCAATCTCTTCCTTCTTCAGCATCTCCAGACCTGTCTTTTCCTTCTCTCACCCTTCGTGAATCTAACTCTAAATCCAATGCTTAAGTTGTGGAGTTGGTCAATGTGAAGGACAAAAGAAACCAGCACCAAGGCTACAAGTCACTTTTTCCTTAAAACTTTAGGACCTGGCCCTCCTGGTGGCGCAGCGGGTTAAAGCACAGCACTGAGAATCTAAAACCACTTCTGCATGAGTTCGATCCCCACCTGCCCCGGAGGTGACCACATGGCGTGGCAGACCTCTCCTGACCCTCCCGCTGCCCTCCTCAGCAGTGTATTTCGTTGATCTGCCTGTTCTGTTTCCCGCTTTGTCTCTGGTGAAGCCTCTCACCGCCCCTGAGCCTCTGGCCTGTACCCCAGTTCTGTATGCACAAATAAATCTTTAAAAAAAAAAAAGGCAGTCTCTCACGCTTAACTCTGCTAAATCCCAGAAACCACTGCTGCAAGGAAAGGACATGTCCCAGCCATACATGTCAACTTCAGAGTCGCAGGCTTTGCTGTCCCCAAGGGAGCCACCTCCAAATTAAATACAGGACTGAGGCTCCTCGGAGGGGCCCCAGGGCAATCCAGGAGAGGGTGTGGGAGGTGCTTAGCAGCTGTCCCGAAACAATGGCACAGTGACAAGGAACTTGGAAGACCAAGAGCCCAAAAAGGAATGGCTTGTCCCACCTCCTACATTTTTTCTTCAAGGAAAACAAACTTGTGTGCCTTTTTTTTTTTATTTTTTCTTCTTTTGACAGTCATCTGCCCTTTTACCCCATTCTCAGAATGAGCCAACAGGGAGTGAAGAGTGTCCACATGTGCCAGGGCAGTCACGGTAACGCTGCTCAGTTTCAGAGGGTTCCAGTAAGTCCACAATTGCCACTGGGATTCAAAAAGGCCGATGCCAGTGCATGATGCCAAGAAGTCATAAAACTACGGAAGCCCCTCAGCAACCTTAAACTGCTGGCTTTGGGATTTATCTTGCTCAGTAAAGGTCACACTCTTCAGACACATCCATTCCACTGCCCTTCTGTAAATGGGCCTGCTAAGTGCAATTCAGCTGTGTAATAACAGGATATTAACTCCTTTTACGAGGATCTTAAACTCGAGGTTTAAGCTGCCGCCCACTCTATGGCACTTGTACAGGGAAGCAGAATGGATCATTCCAGGTGTTTACCTTCTGGCTTCTGGCAGGAACAACCACTCCTGGGAAGGAAGCCGTGTGGCACAGAGGACCCCAATCCTTCCACTTCTCAGCTAGCACCCCCACCCCAAGCTGTGTGTGCAACCAGCCAGCAACAGCCCCACCACACGTGGCCCCTTTTAAATAAGGGTCATGTTCGGTCAAAAGGATCTTGACCACTGCTTCGTGGACTCTTACAGCCGCGGGGTAACATACCACCACTGGCTGCCTCTTGCTCCATTTTTGCCATCACCTTCAGAGCCAGCAAGCTGAAGACAACCCAAAACTGTCCCTCCCACTGCTAATCTTAATTCTGGACAGAGCCAAGAGGCGACCCCAGAGCACCTGGGAGATGTTGACAAGACAGGCCTAAGGGGAAAAGCAGACACACCCTATACAAACTAAGGGGCTGGTCCCTCAAGCACAGCCTCATCCTGTCCTACAAATGACAAGTCAGAAAAGTGTAAGAAGGGATACCTAGGCAAGACGATGCAGGCCCCCTTGATAGGGGATGAAAGTGAAGTCTACGAGAACAGGGAAGCTTATCCCGTGTCTCTGAGGTAAGGAGACACTCACCACTCCGTAAACTCCTGGAAGTCAGGCGTGGAGGCTTATGGATGTCTAGATCCTCAAGATTCAGCCCACTGTTTAAGATAAAAGTGAAGGCAAGGAGAGGAAGTAAGCCAGCACCAGCTGCCTCCTGTCATGGTGCCAAGCACTGCCACAGCAGATAAACTTACTCAGCCCTCACAAAACCCCATTTGAAGATCAGAGAAGTTAAGTAACCTGTCAGAAGTCACACAGCGAACCACTGACTGGTGCCTCCATTCGCCTAATCCCATAGCCCTCTCTCCTTTATCATCCTGCCAAACCAGAATCCGAATCCATGTTACTAAGTTAGTCAGGAACATCAGGTTATGAGATTTCATATAAAAATTTAAAGCTCCTGTCCCTAAAATAGATAAGCTGTCATAAAGAACTCCCTGGCCACATTAGATGAGGGCAAGAGAAGCACTGAGAAGGGATGAAAGGAAAAAGCACAGAACGTCTCACTTACACCTCATTCTCCTTTCTAGCTGTATGATCCTGAGCAAATTACTTGATCTCTCTGAAGCTTAACTCTCTCCTAGAAATGAGCATGTTAACACTGAGTACCATGGGTTGCATGAGGATAAAATGAGAACATATTTGTCAAGCACTTATAAACAGTGCCTTGGCAAACAGCAAATGCTATGTAAGAGCTTGTTAAATAAATAAAACAACTTGTTATTTCAAACTCTCTTAGCAATGACAGCAGTGGGAGTACTGCAATCCTTAACCCTGCTTCTGGCAACATCTGGAAAAAACCCCAGCCTGGAAATGGCCTCTGAGCCCCCAAAGTGGTCACAAAACATCAGGTCTTGCTTCCTTTAGCCTTTGAAAACTCATGACACTATTTACCAACCTCTCACCTCTGTAGCATGTTCCTCAGTTTCAAAGCGTTTTCCCACACATCCCCTACAAGGAGGGGAAAGTAACGATTCTCTCAGATTAGAAAGCTAAAGCCTGAACAGGCTGTGAGTTGGCCAAGGTGGGTAAGCTGTTAGGTCAGGGAACCCGAGCTGGCTGTAAGTCTCCAGACTCAAAGCTGAGGCGGCTATGGGAGCCCTGCCAAGAGGTTCTTTTTCTCCCTATATATTTTCAAATATTTTCATTATGCAACATACTTAAAAGGAGTATATATACACACATATAAACACACACACCTTAAGTAATGATAATAAGCGATCGCCGGCTTAAGAAATAGCTTGCTGTGTCAGAAACTGCCTGTTTCTGATAATAGCGTACTTGCCTATTTACCATAAAAATGAAAATATTTACATAAATCTACACCATGCAAAGCAAAAGGCCTCCTTCTGGCCACTTACAAGTGGAAGAAGCTTGGCCCAGACTCCCTGAGATGACAGAAATATTCTAGCTGTACAATAGTAGCCGCCAGCTGGATGAGACACCAAGAACTAGAAATGTGGTTGGCACCACAGAGGAAATGAGTTTTAATTTAATGTACTTCAACTTTTAATTTTTAATAGCCATGCACATGTACAAACACACAACCTTTTAGCCAAAATAAAAAGTATTTTTTCTTTCCTCAAACACCATGGCCATCTTACATTAAATATTCATTTGCTTCATTCTTTTACATAGTTCTTAACTGCTCCATTTAGGGGAAACCATAGTTGATGTAACCAGTTCCCTATGGCTGGTATTTCTGTAGTTTCCAGGTTTTTGTAACTGTAAAGAAACAGTGTATTTACCAGTGTTAGGGGCCACCTAATCATTTCTGCAAGAGACATTCTCAGCAGTGGAACTGCTGGGTCCAAGGACCAGCTTAATTGTAGTTAGCTTCATTCTGCGACTCGGACACTCATCCTGCTACAGCCGGGAACCAGCACTACAGGAAAGGAGCTGAGAAGCAGCAGGCCTGAAGGTGCCCACCAGGGCCCCAGGAGTCGGACAAGCCTACTAGCAGGGCTCCTTCTGCCTGCCCTGACTGGCCCTCCCAAGACACATCACTTCTTAGGCCCCAAACCTAGAACAGTACCTTAACTGGGAAAAAGTGTGATTAAGTTTAAAGAATTTAGAGTTTATCCTGGATTATCCAGATAGACCCAGAAATACAATCACATATGTCCTTATAAGG